CCCCAAAACCCCAAAACCCCTGAAGTATGAATTTACACAAATTCTAAATATTGAAATGATTAACATAGCATTAAATGAATATAGTATTTATTGAAGATTAAAATGAATTAATAATTATTTTTTAAATTCGTAATACATATTAACTCTCGATGGGCAACAATTGCAGAAGTAAAGTATGTATGTTTTAATTTTAAGATTTATTTCTAGTAATCATCAAGTAAGTAAAGAAAATTAGAGCCTTAATCTATTTACAAACAAAATTCAAGTGATTTTTATGATTCAACTTCTTCTTTGAGACTCTGTTAAATAGAAAAAGAGGATCTTTTTGTCAGAATTCTAATTAAAACCAATTTTGAGAATATATCTAAATATTTTTCTGTAGATTTACCTGAACGTGATAAAAGAGTACCAGATAAAATTGAGACCAGAGAAAGCTTGGAAAATATTGAACTATAGATCCATAATTGTTAAGATTAAATTGATTCGATTGATCTGTAGACCAAACAAGCTCAAGAAAAAAAAATATCCAAAGATAGTGAATTAAGCAAAGCCTTTGCCTAAGTATTTTTGATATTTTAAGCACTTATATTCTAGGAATAAGATAAAATGTAATTGAGAATCATTGCCAAGGACATCCTAGGTATAGAAACCCAACTTGCGGAGCTATCTAATTAGAGAAATAATCTTCATGAAACAAAATAGTAGTTATTAACTAAAAGAATTAGAATCATAGGTGGAGAAACTACTCATGAAGCCTAAATCATAGTGAATACTAACCATCACTATGATTCAAATTAAGTGATGTAAAGGACGGCTGCTGAGATCTAGAATACAAACTTGCAACAAGCAATTGCAAGATAGTAAGTGAGAGCTACTTAGTAAGTTGCTGATCAGGAGGCTGATGACTATATTCAATAATTGAGAAATTTAAGGAATCAAAATAATGGTCAAGCTTGAGCCCTCAGAATAACATGATATTATGATGAATTAGTGATTACCAATTGTTGAAATGGAATTGCAAATTATCAAATAAGTTGCTGATCAGGAGGCTGATGACTATATTCAATAATTGAGAAATTTAAGGA